AAGATTCATAAGTTTTGATCAAAGTCTCTTAGTGTTATAAATCTTTTAAAAAATGCATTCTATATACACTATTCATAGAAAAGGGTATATTTGTTTTTGAAAGCTTCATATCTCGAATAGATGAGAAACCCATGAGAAATCAAATTTATTCCGTTTTACTTGTATGCTTTTCAAGTCACTTGAAAAGACAACATAATGATAGATTTGCCAAGTCATAAGCTTCTTCCTTTCTTGAATTATGGCTCATAATGAGATGTATTGCCATCGATCATAATTCATCTTGGACTCAAGCTAACAAACGCGAACTGATCTTACTCACGTACATGTCAAATGTAATATATACACCCTAAAATTTCACCCTAATAGATTAAATTATATTGGAGATATAAAATGTTTTTATCATCTAGTTATTTATGTGTTACTCTGTATGTAGTTACATTGATTAATTAATTTTATTAATTTTTTAGTGTTCAATTCACGTTCATTACCATTTGTACGAAAACATTCACAACACGCATCAAGTACATTGGACTCATATTTAACTCTTTGGAAATAATTTTTGTTCTCTTTGATAAACAAAAAAAAAATTTTTTCATTGATTTGTTTCTTTTTAAATGATTTGAACCAAAAATAACATATTGAATAAGATAATATAGTAAAACATAATTTATCAAACTTGAAATTTTCTGTATGAAGTATTGATGGAATCATTTTAAAATAAAATATATTATTCTTTCAAGCACAAAAAGAAAATATGTTTTCAAAAACTTAGTTAATTTTATTTGGAGAGGACAATGTCATGTGAAATCATATTATATTTTACTTATTCCTGCTGAGAGCAATCATAAAAGATTTTGTTTTTTTTTTCCATTCATTCATTCATTCATCATCATTCATTTTCACAAATACAATGCGAGGTTTCCTAGCAGAAGAAGTTCCGACGAATGATGAAGCTAATACAGCTTTATATCGTCGATCTATTCGTACAATTGATGATGATTTTATTGATGAAACACAACCAATAACTCAACGAGTTACTCGTACAACAACAAGATCTCGTTTTCGTTGTCCATATGTTCGTTTTCCTCGTTGGTGTTTTTGGCTTTGGTTATTACTTCTTCTTGCATTACTTGCAACCGTTCTTGGTGTTGGCATTGGTTTAGGAACACGAAGGAAATCAATTTATGAAAGTTGTTCATCACAATCAGTGTGTATGAACAATGCTGTTTGTACTGATGGGTATTGTTTATGTAATTCAGGATATTTTTATGATAGTACACTTGGTTTATGTGTTACAGAAGTAGGTATTGGTCATGCATGTACAGCTGATAATCAATGTTTTACAAATGCTCTATGTACAAATGGAATATGTCGATGTATAACAAATTATTATCCTGATCCCACAACAGGACAATGTGCAGTTGAAAAAACATATAAACAATCTTGTACATATGATGTTGAATGTACATTTACATTTGAATGTATATCAAGTGTATGTACATGTAATTCAACTCGATACTATAGTACATTAACATCACAATGTGAAAAACTGGGTGAACCTAACGAAGATACTTGTATGGAAAATTTAAATTCATCATTTATAAGTTTTATTATTCGTATTTTTATTTTCTAACATGTAGGTTATGCAGATGATAATTGTATAGCTACAGCTGTATGTATTGGTGGAGTTTGTCGATGTCCAACAAATTGGTATTATGAAGTATACACTGATACATGTGATCGTGCAAAACATATTGGTAGTATATGTACAGCTTCTTATCAATGTATGACAAATGCTAATTGTACAACCGTCGGTGGCACTCTTCGATGTCAATGTATAAGTGGTACAAGATATTCAATTATATCTGGAGCATGTATAACACCAATATCTTATAATCAATCATGTTCGGTAACAGCTGATTGTATAAATAATTTAATATGTACAAGCGTAAATGGTGCATCTTATTGTTTATGCGGAACTAATAGTCGATATTATTATTCATTAAATCAAACATGTCTTGATAAAGTTTTATATAATACACCATGTTCAGCATTTGGTCCTTATTGTGATGATGTTAGATTATTAGTATGTTCTACATATGGAAATTGTACATGTTCATCTTCATATTATTATTCAACAACTTCAGGTCGTTGTGAAGCACGACTTTTTCCTGGAAAAACATGTATTGTTGCTGAATCATCTTGTATAACAAATGCAAATTGTGTTAGTATTGCTGGTTCACTTATATGTCAATGTATTAGTGGATCTTATTATTATGATACAACAACAGGACAATGTGTAGCATTAAAATCATATGGTACAGCTTGTACTGAACATGAACAATGTGTAACTGGACTTTATTGTATATCAAGTATTTGTCAATGTATAGCAACAAAATATTATACAGGAATTACATGTGCAACACGTGCTACATACAATGCTGCTTGTAATACTGTAACTGGACCTTATTGTGATACAACCGTAGGTCTTTCATGTAATGTAACAACATCAGTTTGTGTTTGTCCAGCAAATTATTATTGGAATAGTACAGCATGTATACATATTAAATATTTATATGACTCTTGTACTTCATCTATTCAATGTCCAACTAATGGACAATGTAGTGCATCGAGTATTTGTCAATGTACAGCTACAACATATTATAATGCAACTTTAAATAGTTGTATAACATATTCAACATTTGGACAAACATGTGTTGCCAATGTATTTGTTACAAGTGAATGTTCATCAACACAAAGTCTTGTTTGTTCATCAACCACAAGTGGATATTGTCAATGTAATTCAAATGCTTTTTATAATGCTACAGGATCTACATGTACGACGAAGTCAACTGTATCAACAGCATGTACAACAAGTTCGACTTGTAATGATCTTGTTGGACTTGTTTGTACATCATCGACATGTACTTGTGCAACAGGTACTTATTGGGATGGTAGTGCCTGTGTTGAAACATTAGGTGCTGGTCAATCATGTGGAGGTGTTAGTAGTCAATGTACGAGTCCACTGTATTGTCCAACAACGACATGTCAATGTCCAAATACATATTATCTTGATATAGTTACTGTTAATTGTATTTTAAAAAAAGCAACTGGTGTTTCATGTAGTTACAACTTTGAATGCACTAGTGGAACATGCACTAACTCTGTTTGTACTTAGATATAGATATATTTTTTTTGTCTAGAAGTTTAATTTCATTTAACTGTAAAATTAAAGAAATATGAATTATTATTATTGAAGAAAAGAATAACTAAGAAATCGACAAGTCTAATTCTGTTAGTTCATATTCAAACTAATCTTATCGTTAATTATGTATGACAAGGTTGTTCAATGAATGTTGAGTATAAACAAAAAAAACTGATTAAGCTGCTCGTATTGTGTGTATTTTATCGGAATTTTCTTTTTAGAGAGAGCAATTTAAAACTCCGGAAGGACGAACAAATTATTTTGGAAAGCACATATACATGGAAACGGGTGGTAGGAAACATTTTAGCCAAGATGTTTATTTATTTTTGATTCGCAAGAAAGTATTTTCGACAAGTCAAAAGCTATGCGTTAAACTAAAAAAATTAGTTTGAACTAAATGTATGGGTTTGAGATCGTCGGGTTCACAATTTTCGGATTAGAGTTTCTAGTAAGCATATTTGCTCATTTTGACCTGTTTGAAATTATTTCTACATAGAGGGTGACCGAAATTGTTGTCCATTTTTTAAATTTGAGCTTAGAAACATTATGTCTATTTTTGTTCAAAAGTGGTGAAGACTTTTTGAAAGGTCTGAAAGATAATATTTAATTGTGAACTACCAAACTTTTGTTTTCAGGAGCTTCTTTAAAGTTAAAACGTTTGTCAATTTTTCAAAAATGAGCACTTATGAAACCCTAATTGAAGCAGCGAAAATACAAAAAAATGTCCGTCCAAACTTATTTTTTTGCAATTCCCAAAGATTATTTCACTAGTTTAGAGCGAAATTCCAAAGCCCATGTTCGAAAAGAACATTAAATTCTGGCCCTAACCCATCGAAAATACTTTCTAGCAGGTCAAAAGTGAGCAAACATCTTGTCTAAAAACTTACTGATCACTCACTATGTTGATACAATAATCACAAACTCCAATAGGACGAACCCGATATATGGAGGGATGCCATGTTCTATAAAACACTGACTATTATTTGTCAATAATATATATATATGAAGATAAAAATGACAATAATATAATAAATATTAGTAAGGTTATATTTATCAATTAATTCATTGTCTATTAACGACTGTTGAGAGCTAAATATACTTAATGATTCTTTGATGAGTATTAATTCTTTATTCATATTCTTTTATATTGATTTGTTGCAATCATTTTCTAGTAATAAATTACATTCATCTGGAATCTCTTCAATGGTTATTCATTCAATCAGAAAATTTATCAATGCTAAAACAAATAATCTTTTCTCTTGCCTATTCGAGTACTTTTCCTTTTAATTACCATATGTTTTATTAGTCAATTATTTGTCGGAAAATTCATTCGAGTGCATGAAAAAAAAACACCCTAACGATCAATATATTTCAGTCATATACACAAACAAAGAAACTTGTTTTTATTATTTATAGTCGTCATTTATATTTCCTCTTTTTTTTTTCTTTACCTCAACATGGTTATTAACGATTGCTTATCGACGACTGAAAATACTTTTGATAATGATTCAATGTTGAAATCAATGAATTTAAATTTTGCTGATACAACTATACCAATGAATCATTTAATAATGATTTTTAATTTATGCGATGATATTGCAAAAAAAATTACAGAACAAGTACTTGATACTATTGAACATTTAATCGACTCAACTCCATAAAATCCACTTTAATGATGAAACTGTATAAGCAAAAAAAAACTTTGATTCTTGTTTGCCTTTTTAAATGTAAATGAAGCAATAAAATAACATAGAGTTTCTTCTACTATACTTCATTTTGATTAATATTTTATTTTTTATGATAAAATACTAATAGCATCACCTGGAGAATATAAAACAATAGCAATTTTCCAAGGAAAAGGACATTGTTCATGTTCTATAGATTCATAAACAATTTGTTTTGTTCGATGATGTTCAAACTGAATTTGACTATTAAGACAATCTAATGTTAATGTTACTTCATCATCTGTTTTAATATCTGGGTCTTCAATATTTTCTTGTTCTTTTTCATCAAATGGAAATTTCCACCAACCATAAGCAAATGGGGTTTTACGATTCCATGGATTTAATTCTTTTGCAACTGATGTAATACCGAAAAACGGATTATTTTTTCCGTTTTTCGTAATTCGAAAACGAATAGAATGAATACCAGACGAATAGAGATTATTACCACTAACATTCGAACCGTTCCAATTTCTCTCTGAACATGTTGCTGTAAGATGATCTTGTGATAAAGTAATCTTACCAACAGTTTTATTGAATTTTTCATTAGTATTAGAATTTAATTCTTCAATAGAAAATGATTGTTTTTTATCGATAATTTTAATTAACCGAAAAGATGATTGTTTATCATCAATAATATCAACTGTAAATGAAGTTTTATATATATGACGAAGTTTTTCTAATTGTTCCATCCATTGATTTAAATTAATTTCTGAATAGTTTTTTGATTCTTGATTTGTTTGTATATCATAGTATATTTTATTACATTTTGATTTTAATTGATTTTTCATTCGATCAAAAATTTTTAATAAATCATTACGAGCTATTTCAGCGGTTTCTTGAATTTTTTTTAATGATTCACGTTCCCACAGATCAATACGAGAAAGATAACTTTGAATAATTTCATTGTTATTTAAACCTTCTTCGAACTGACAATAATCTTTATTAATATCATTCATTTTATGTGATAATTCTTCACGATGTTCATGAATATGTTCATTACAAAATGATTGTTGACATCCATCGCATGTAAATATTTGATCAAAATTTTTACATTTACTGCACTTTTGTTTCATTGTTATATTCGAAGCAAATAAGTTGATGTTTAATTTACACTACAACTAGAGAAAAAAAATTGTATAACCTTCACTCATTGAAAGTAAACAAAGAAATAAAATGATGACGAACGCTAAAAGAAATTGAAGTAAATTATTCTGTTCTTGTCATGCAATTTAAAAAAGAAACAGAAAAAGATGTTTGAAGTTGATCATGACAATTAACTATAATAATAACAAAAGACAGATTGTATAGTGGAAAACAAAAGTATGCAATAATTTCAATAAACAAATGTCGTCACAGTTTATTCTCCATAGGAACACAAATGTGTCAAGGTCGATGGAAAAATATGTTTATTTACTTATTCACTAATAATCGATAATTTACAAACAATTTTCGAGGTATCCTTCACGTTATTAATATAAACTCTTGTAAAATTATATTTAGGTCTCCCCAGGTGAAGCAATCTTATTGTATGATCTCATACAATTCTTACAAGATCATATAAGCACGCACGTCTGATCCTACATGATCATACAAGATCATATGAAAATCATATATGATCTTGTACGATTCTATATGCCCACCTCAAAGAGCCAACTTTTCTGACACAATCATACTGTACGATTCTATATGATCCTAGTGTTAGATCTTATACGATCTTATAAGATCCATGTATGATTTTCCAGAATTGTATACAAAGGTATACAACTCATTTTCTCCTGTTTTGTTTTATATGGCTTTCAATTTTAAGAGTTGTTTTATCTTAAATTCATTGAAAACATCAAATAAAATAAGTAATTAAAGTTAAATTTAATTATTTATTTCATTTGATGCACATATGCACACATAAATGCATCAAATGAAATTCTTTATCAACTAAATATTTACTTTGTTTCGTATAGTCGTCGACATTATCTAAAATACAAGTAAAGAGATAATTTAAATAAAATAAATACTCATTTTATTTTGATACAGTATTAATATCATGTAAAATAAAGAAAACAATTTATAATAAATAAATAACTACTTCGTTTGGTCTCATCGTCAATACTATATAAAATGAAAATAAATAAATAATTTATAATAAATAAATATTCACTTCATTTGGATAAAGCATCAGTATCATGTAAAAAAACAACTAAAAATAAATAAACAATTCCCTTGTTTCGTCTAATCGTCAATATTATCTAAAATAAAAATAAATAGACAATTTAAATCAAATGAATATTTACTTTATTTGGTCTAATCGTTCATATCATCTAAAATAAAAAAAATAACTGAACTTAAATAAATGCTTACTTTATTGGGTCTAATAGTTGATATTATCTAAAATAAAAAAACACAATTAAAATTAAATAAGCACTCACTTTATTTGAATAAAGCGTTGATATTTTCTTAAATAAAAGAAAGCAATTTAAATTGAATAAATGCTGATTCTTTGTTTAACGTTGAGCGTTGACATCAGTCTGAAATAAAAACAAAGACAATCTAAAATAAATGAATACTCACTTTCTTTGGTCTAATCGTCGATATTATCTAAAATAAAAATAAGTAAACAATTTAAATTAAATACTTAGTTTTTTTTCGGTTTGGTCGATGATATCATCTAATACAAAATAAAGCATAGTTAAAATGAAGTACATACTTCTTTGAATTGCATTGACTTTTAGTAATTGGTATTTTTGCACTCTTCGGTGCGCTATACTTAGCTCTTTCAACGAACTGGTTTATCTTCATTTCAAAACTGTTTTATTAATACATATATGAGTAATTAGAATAGTTTATGATACATATATACATGTATAAAACAAGTTGCTATAAAAACTACGACTATTAATATTCATTTTCTGATGATGAATCATTTTCTTGTTGTTGTTTTCGCTTGTATTTGCGTCGCACGTCGCAAAACAATTGAGTTAATGTTCTATGAAGACAACATTTAAAAAAATTCATTCTAGTATGATTCACTGATGCGAAATCGAGCTTGTACTGCATCTAAAATAAAATTAGATAAAAAGTATCATCAATGAATATTAAAAGGGGTGTTCCGGAAGTTCTGAAACGATTTTAAAATTCATCGTTCTCGCATTCTGCAAAAGCACATTTGTTGAAACTTTGGTAGATTGTTGTACATATATAGTACTACATAACTACAATGTTTGAGATCTATAGGTTGTACTATGGATGAGAAATTGTAACAACACTGACATGTACTATTTTTTAAATTTTCCTGGTCATCTTCGAAGTGTGCAACATTTTTTTATTTCGTCTATATCTTGGCTTAGGTAAATGATAGAACCTTAAATTTTTCTTTAAAAGATGCGCCGTGAAAAGCTCTACAAAAAGTGCAATAACAAATCCCTATTGACTTTGTGTTAATGGTTTCTGCCATACTCAAAATGAAAAACCTGCATGGTAGTACTACTTCTCACCATATTATGCGTAATAAAAAAAGGTTCGGAAGATCTTTCTGCTTTCCGATAGGAATTTGTTTATATAGCTTTTGTAGCGCTTTCGACGGTGCATCTTTTGAAAAAGAAATCAAGATTTTATCATTATTTCAAGCTGAGATACATGCAAAACAAAAAGTTCCTCCAAACATTTTTTATTACGCACAATATGGTGAGAAGTAGTACCATCATGTAGGTTTTTCATTTTGAGTATGGCAGAAACCATTAACACAAGTCAATAGGGATTTGTTATTACAATTTTTGTAGAGCTTTTTACGGCGCATCTTTTAAAAAAAAATTCAAGATTTTATCATCTACGTAAGCCGAAATATAGATATTTTGGTAGACCCGGAATACAGGAAAATGTTAAAAATAGTACATCATAGCAGAGTTGGAACCGGTCCGGCAATCCGGCTCCGGTCGGACCGGACCGGACAAGAAGTTAAACCGGGCCGGACAGAATCGGATTTTTGCTAGTTCATCATTACAAAATTGTTGTTTGCATCCAAGAATTTTCTCTACTGAAAATGGTTTTTTTATGATATTTTCAAGTCAGAAGAATGTGTTTACGAAAGACTCAATAGATATCTTGTCTTCGACTTGACTATAGACGATTGATTGTTCTCTTTATATCTCTATCGATTTCTTTCTCGTGTATCGCTTAATTTAACCTTGATCAAATAATTTATTCTCTTGTTCTACTTAGGCAGCTGCCTGAATCAAGAAAAATAAAAATTTCATTTTTATGTTAGATGTGGTATAAACTTGCTTTTTTTTTCTTTTTTGAAATTAAGATGAAAAACAGATTTGATCTGAATAGCTAATTTATGTCGATGTCGGGCTCGAAAAGTCGACGCACCTTGCTATAAAATATGAAGGGAGAGTTTCAGTCCCAAGTTTTAGTTTCCAGTCCGGATTAAGGGTGGCGATTTGCTGTTAATTTATTATAATTTTAAATTGGATTTACATAAATTTAAATTTTTTAAAATTATTGAAATTTATTCCAATCCAGTTTAAATCAGTATAAATTCAATCTAAACCAAATAAAATTCAATTTAAATTCATTTAATTGGATTTAAATCCTATATGAATTAATGTAAATGGATTTAAATCCAATTAAATGAACTTAAATTGAATTTTATTTGATTTATATTGAATTTATATTGATTTAAACCGGATTTAAATAAATTTAAATAATTTTATAAAATTTAAATTTATGTAAATCCACTTTAAACTCGAAATAAATAAAACTTTTTAAAATTTATTTTTAATTCAAATTTCTTAAAATTTATTTTTGGATTTATAAATTTTTCGTAAACGTAAATTGATCACCCCTAGTTGGGATTTCTGCATGTGAATATTCAATTCCCCTTCGCCAACATTTTATGTTAACAGATACTTTTATGGTCGGTTATTTTCGCCGGATTTTTGCCAGTTTGGCTGTAAAATTCGTCCGGCCGGTTGCTGACCGGACCGGACCGGACAGATTTTTTAACCGGCCGGACAGGACCGGACCGGACAGAAAAAACCTGTCCGGTTCCAACTCTGCATCATAGTGTTGCTACAGGTTCTCCTCTACAGTAGAACCGATAGATCTCAAACTTTGTAGTTATGTGCCTCTACATATGTGCAATAATATGTCAAAGTTTCAAAAAGTTTGCATTTGTTGAATGCGAGAACGATATATTTTAAAATCGTTTCAGAACTTCCGGAACATCCTTTATCCATAAAGACATGTCTAAGGAGACCCTTTGCTAAGTATCACTATCGACCTCAACAAGAAAATGATACTTTCTCACAGATAGGAAAAGAAAACAATATACTTAACAAAGGTTTCCACTAGCCTTGTCCGTATGGATTTGGAGTGTAAACATGCCTCCATACTTGGTAAAAAAATCAGCTCGTTTGCTCGAGCCGTAATGGAAATATTTAATTTTCTTTCCGATAAAGTGACTCTTGCACTATCCTGAATATTGTTCTTTTCCTACCTGTGTAGAAGTAAAAATTTTTATATTGAGATCAATAGTGATACTTAGCAAAGGGTCTCATTAGACATGTCTTTATGGATATAAAGCTTGTACATACCTCTATCACTGATAAAAAAATCAGCTCGTTTGCTCAAGCCTTAATGGAGATATTCAATTTTTTGTTTGGTGCGTGACTTTTGGGCCACCCTGTATTTTAACTATTATTTTATGGAATTTAATCAAAATGTACTGTATTAAATCGATTCTTTTGCGATTTATATGGAAAAATCAATTTTAATCTGATTTTTTGATTGTTGTTCTTACACATGGATATGCTACTCAAATATTACTCATTGTCTTGGCAACTATTGAAAAGCATATACTTATTTTTAATAATCGATGGATTTCAACAAATATCAAACGTTCGTTCGTTCATTACCTACCATTATTTATGGATATTCATCTATTGTTTTTTCACACTATATTGTAATTATTTTTGGTGCATTCTATGAAGATTCATTGTATAATGCTACATATGAAGTTTTTTTTCAATTCTTGTGCATTGAATAACGTTATTTTCCGAGTGTGGAAACTTTTAGTTCATCAAATTACTTCAAATTTCACCATTATCATCTTCAATGTTTCTCGTCCAATTCACTGTCTATGGCGAAAAATGACTATTCAATTATTATCTACTTCTATGCTTTATTTGATTTGCAATAGTCCATGGGCAACATTAATCTTTGCTGTTCAAAATGGTTTACCACAGGATGAAGTGGCAATACTTTTACATTGGACATTTATGCTTCGAGATTATATTACATATTTATATCCACGTATATGCTTGGCTTCATTATCAGAATTTCGTACAACAAGTTGTTCTTTAAATAGCCACCAGAAAAACAACCAGAATAAATGAACAAACGAACAAAACGAATCATGTTGCCCATCAAGAGTAATTTTATTATGTACCCGCAATAACATATTACTAGAAATAATACATGCTTTAGAAAAATAATTGATGAAAAAAAACGATAGAATGCATCTGTTTATTATAATCAGATATGACATTTATGGTATTGAAACAAGAAATATTTGGTATGAAAATAACAAGCCGTCTGAGACTTGTTCAGTACGGTAGTCTCTAAGAACAAAAAAAGCTTAACCATTCGAATTATCAACAAATGATTTGAACATATACGGTAAGCGCTATAAGTGGACCCGCGCTCTTCTTGATATTGAACAATGACCTTTGTTTTATCTTTTTGCTTTGTCTGAAAGGACTATTTATAGTTATCATCGCATATAAATAGGAGCATTTATATACCTTCTGTTATCAATTTATAACTTAATAAAAGAATAGGGAGTGTCGGCTTAGTATTAGCATTGGCATTAATTAATACTAATTCTACAAACGCCACGCTTAGGGGCAGCAAGATGGAGCAAGTGTTGAAACAAAAAAGATGCGCAAGGCGTACCTGCATATGATAGTTGTGATCATTTTGTTATAATATACCTTTATGCATATAATAATTGAGAAATATGAATTTTAACACCCGAAAAAAAATGATATAATGCATTTCTTTCAAAGTATGTTCCATTATTATCTATTCAAATGAAAATTTTAATGCAGTCATTCTATGCAGATACGCCTTGCGCATCTTTTTTGTTTCAACACTTTTGCTCCATCTTGCTGCCCCTAGGCGTGGCGTTTGTAGAATTAGTATTAATTAATGTCAATGCTAATACTAAGCCGACACCGCCTATTCTTTTATTAAGTTATAAATTGATAACAGAAGGTATATAAATGCTCCTATTTATATGCGATGATAACTATGAATAGTCCTTTCAGACAAAGCAAAAGGATAAAACAAAGGTCATTGTTCAATATCAAAAAGAGAGCGGGTCCACTTATGGCGCTTACTGTATATTCTTAGTATATTTTCATTTCTCCCTATGATGAGATACAACACAAGAGAATGGATTTGCACGCTTTGTGCTATAATTTTCAACGTTTTAGCAATAAATAGAGGCATCGTAGAAGTGAATCACTACTCATGTTTTCTAGAGGATGGCCCAAACGAATAAGAATCTCTGATTACGATAGTTAGACAAGATTAATTTGATAATAGAGGATAATGTCGAACAGACGCTATCGATTAGCTATAATGACAAAGGAATCAGAAAAAACTTACAAATTTGTTTCTTTCTTCATTTGTTCGAATTGGCTGTACAAACTCGAATTAAAAGTGTACACAATAATTGAAACTACAAAACGTAAACAGTTTTTACTTTTCGTTGAATATCTGTACGTAGGTGATTAACTTGAAAACATCAATACTTACTAGTATTGGAGAATCCGAAATGAGTACTTGGGAAGCGTCAAACAAATACCTATTTTAATTGTACCATATAATTATGAACCTAATGAACAAGGTGTGTATGTGTATGGGAGAGCATGTGCATCCATCACATGTGTTTATACCCTGCCAGGCGTCATCAGATAGTTATCTAATAGGAAGGATGTGGGTGTGTGTGGAGACGTTGATGAGACGGAGATCCGCACCTACGCCCATGCCTTCGTATGCGAACTGTAAACAGCCCCATACAGTTTACTGACAGTATTTTCACGACTATAAATACTCAAATGCGAACCCTTTAGATTCCATAATTTATCGTAAACTTGATTCATAATTTATGTTCGTATTTATGCTATGCAATATACAGCATGTTACGACTAGAATAAAATTGAGGATGTGGATGTGAGGTAGAGATCGTACTATATGTTTTATTGTATAACTTTTAAATTGTTACTCTAGTCGTCGATAAAACTTTTATGTTCAACTGTACTATAGAATCTTTCAAAGAAATGCTCATGTTCTTTTTATAACCTTGACCAACATGTTCATCCTCGCTTAATAAAAGAAACTCCGTAACATTTAAGTACTTCTCGTTTCGTATGCTTTTATTGCAGAATAAAATAATTAAAATTGTCACTGACATTTTAATGAAGAATTCTTACACAATCATCTTTGCCCAGTAATAAAACGATAATTTTCCAAGGAAATGCACATAATTGAATATTAATAGTTAAATTAAGAATTCTCTTTGTTCGATGATGTTCTAATTGAATTTGTCGATTGTCACAATCTAGTATGAATGTCACTTCATCTCCTGTTCGAATAATTTTAGTTGAATCATATTTATGTTTTTTACCACTTATAACATTATAGATAAGATCCCACCAACCATAGAATGAAGTTGAATTTAATATATCTTTTGTTATTTTTTCCGACGAATTAACAATACCAAAAAATGAATAATGATCTGTGTTGATATGCTCGAATCGAAAACGAATATAATGTGTTCCGGATGAATATCGACCAATACAACCGACACAAGATCTGTCTGAGTAATCACCTAAACATGTTGCTAGAAGGCCTCCTTCCGATAATATAACTCTTCCGAATATATCATTGAATCTTTCACGAAAAGATCTTTCCACGTTACAACAAACCCAATTATTAATTTCATATAATTGTGATGCTTGACACGAAAAACCTGATGATTGTTGATCAGTCACTTTAATCAAACGAATAGCTGATTGAATGTCATCTTCATAGTCAATGTTAATAGTCATTGGACTATTGAGTATTTTACGAAATTCTTGTAGCTGATTAGTCCATTTCTTGATATCTTGTTCAGTATAATCATCTGATTCTCGACTAGATTGAAGTTCTTCTGTTATTTTACTAATTAACGTTTTGAGGTTATTTTTAGCTGTGTCAAACAATTGTTGAAGATCATTACGTGCTAATTTTGCTGCTATTTGAATCTTGATAATAGATTCTTGTTCCCATTGATTGATATGTTCTAAAAGAGGATGTGTGGGTTGCTCATATGTTAAATCTCTACATAAAATATCGTGTTCTTGACCGATATTATCCATTTGTTGTGAAAGTTCCTGTCGATGTTCAATAAAATGTTTTGTACAAAATGCTTGTTCACATCCGTAACACATTGCAGTTCCTCCACCTTTATTACATTTAATACAAGCTTTCTTTATAGTTATTGATGCCATTATATTTGATCTGAAAAATATATGCACCACAATTTTTGTCAAGTCACATATCTTTACCTATTACAATGAGTTTGTTATTTCTTTCAGTACTTCAACCACTCTAGTCGTTTTTTGTTCCGTAAGTAGAAAAAAAAACGAAGTCTCGATTAAAAGAAAACATTATAAAACAACAAAAAAACGAATAAATATTTTGTTCATACCATGTGTTTGAAAGTTCGTAAGAAAAAGAATTGAAAACAAAAGAGATGTTTTTATACGAACTATTATTGCCTATGGACATGTTAATTCCTATTAAACATGTAATGGTTTGAAAAAAAAAGACGATGAGACTGTTTAAGTAACAATTCTTCTATAATTTTTCTGTGCAATAATAAACATTGTAGTATTTACGTTTGAATATGTCAATATACATACAAAATATTGTTATACAAAATCTATATATCGTTGCATACTGTTTATTTTAGAACACATGTATAGAATCAGTACTATTAGCCACATTATTTGAAATAAAAATATTGTTTTATAAAGGAAAATCACTTGTCTCTATTGAATGGTAATAATAATGTTTATTTAATGCTGTTAAACGAACAACTTTTTTATAATAGAATCTCTTATCTATTTGAAACATAGCCAATCGCTAAATTTTGTTCTTGGTTAAATCAGTTTGTTGTTTTCTCACTACTTTTAGATTAACATTTTGTTGAAAAAGATCGTGTCCTTAAGAACATATTTTCGTCTGCATATCAGACTTTTGTCAATGATCATGACTATATATTAGGTTAAGACATTCAGAAGTAATGTACGCTATATGTAAGGTCTAACAATTAAGTAACACAACATTCTAAGAGAAATTTTTATTGCAAATATATAAATGTTATACATCTATCGGACAAAATTTATTATAAATCTAGCTTACATATAAGCTAGAAAAAATTATTCTTTTGATAGAATTATGTTTTTTCTTATGTCTTATCAATAACAAGAAACTAATTGGATATAGGTTTTTTTTGTTAACAAAGAACACGTATAGATCCATTTCGAGGTGATAATGCCACAAGTATTTTCCATGGAAATGGACATTCTTGAATATCAATTGATTGACGAACAAGTCTATTTGTTCGATGATGTTCAAGTAAAATTTCTCGATTATCACAATCTAATATTAATGTTACTTCATCACCTGATTGAATAGTTTTATTTGAGATACTTGTACTTAGACTTTTACCATTAAGAACAACATAATCTAAATCAGACCATCCATTTGCTGATGGTAATGTAATTTTTCTTAGACTTAATCCTTCTAATGATGAAATAATACCTAGAAAAGGACAAGAATTTGTACGTTCACCGATTCGAAAATGAATACGATGTACACCAGATGAATATTGAGTAATACCACATATTCTTGAATAATCATCACTAATATTTTTAGCAGCAAGACCTTTTTCTGATAAAATAACTGGTCCATAAAACTTATCAAATCTTTCTTGTGTATAAGTTAAATTTAAATTGTCAGAAACTGGTAAACTATGTTCTAACGATGAATATATTCGAGGAAAAGAATATAATTGAGGATTAATTCTAATCAAATCAATTGATGTTTGTGAATGATTATCAAGTAGAATATCTACATTTACTGGTGTTTCAAGTTTCATTTGAAATTCTTGTAATTTATGCAACCATTTTTTAAGATCAATTTCTGTATAATCATCTGATTCTTGACTTGATTGAATTTCACTAGTCATTTTATCTATTGATACTTTCAATTCATTTTTTGTTCGATCAATTAATTCTCGAAGATCAACTCGTGCTACTTCGGCAGCCACTTGAATTTTTGTAATTGATTCTTGTTCCCATATATCAATACGAGTAAGAAATGGATATTCTGAACTTTCTTTCAATAAATCACGTCGAAGTAGATCATGTTGTTGTCCAATATTATCCATTTGTATTGCAAGGTCTTGTCGATGTTCGACAAAATGTTTAACACAAAATTGTTGTTGACATCCAGAACATATAGCTATACCACCACCTTTATCACATTTTACACATGATTGTTTAACATTTGATAATGATGACGCCATACTTTATTCAAATAAAATTGATTTACAATGTTTCGATAGTTTTACAGTATATAAAAACATGAAAAGTAATCATTATTGTTAGAAAAAGAAAAAAAACAATAAAATTTTTTGTTTCGTTCTCTTCATATAATGTTAGAAACAAAAAAAAGTGAAGAATTCATGTTAAAAAAACAAAATTTGGTTTTGCATAGATACAACTAAATTATCTAACGACATGATATAGTTTGAGAAACTCATATAAAGATGTCTTATTATGATGAACTTTATTTGAAAATATTGATAATTGTCAAGGGAAATATTATCTCTAGAATGATGTTGTTCTTATCTGATCTATTCTTTTATTGTTGTCTTACGTATCTCCGTAAATATGAGTGATACAGAATTTATCTTATTAATTATAGAAATTTTAGATTTTTGAACTTGAATTTCAATTGTTGTGTAATACATGCCCTCTATCATTAAAGTTCATGACAAAGAAAAAGAAAATATTGTGTATTGATCATTCATAATACATTAATAAAAGTCATTTGGTATAGAAAGACTAAGAAAAAGATTCTGAACTATTAATATTCATCCAATCATTATTCCCAAATGTGGAATAAGATTTTCATATAAGATTCTGTCTCTTGAGTACATTTTTTTTCTTGTTCTTTTGTTCTGATTGACACTTGATTTGTTGCTTGACTCCACAATATATCACTGTTCTGAACATGTGTGATAACTCTCATCTCATTGACGAATAGACCTAATAAAAATACGAAACGTTAAAATGAATTATGAGATGCTGTTAAATCATCAAATATATATACTGTTCAACATATTATATCTAAATATCGATGAGAAAAGAATAGTAAGTATTTGAATAAAATACATTTTCTTTTCCTTTTTTTCTTCTTGCTTCTGTACTCAATTGAATTCATGAGATATCGTCTCACCAAAACAAAAAAAAAAAGATCAATTTAAACGTTTAATATGATAATGGGTAAATAAAAGTAGATTATATAATTTATCTGAAATGTTAATATGTTTGTATCCTATATCAAGAAGTTCTATTACTGGACAATTTCTTTTATGAATATCTTCTTATATGTATTTGATTATATTCGTTTCGATGACTGAAGGCAAAATAATTTTTAATATGTTATGTATTTTGTTGTTGTTGATATGCATATTTGTAAGAGTATAACGAAGAAAAAATATTAGATAATCATCATGATCGCTTCGATTGATCGTTTGTTTCTTATTCATATACGCTTAACTGATACTGATTACACATGTTTCTGTTTAGAAATGATCGAATGCTTTTTTTCCATATGGTTGATATTGTTGTTCTTCGATATTCTCTTCTTTCTTGTTTAGTCTTATTGATGATAATAGACAGAAAAATACAAGATGATAGTTCCCATGTCGAGAGATAGAGATTGCGTATGTTTGATGATGTCATAGAAGGAAAGACGAAATACTCGAATTTAATTGAATGTAATGAGAAAAATTGACACTTAGAGTTTTTTTTTTCTTCTTTCGTATAAAGTATTCTCTTAGTGTAAGTTAAATGATAAGAGAAAAGAAGAAGAAAAAAACGGAAGTTTAATGTGTGAACATTGAATTTGTTGGTGTATCATTACGACGATCAAGAGATTAACCGCTCGACGGCGCATGTTCTTTCCTCATCCTTCTCTTACTCCCTGGAGTAAGAAGAAGGACATCGAACGAGAAAAAGAAACGCTACCACTAGCACTCCCGACCCCAACCATTATAAAAAAAAAGGTCGTCATTTGTTGTACATAATTGGAGAGCATACAAAATACATCTATGCTGCCGCCCATTTATTAGACTAACTCGAATGTTATATTTCGGCATCATTAACAATCTATCTAATACTACTTCTTTTTCTTCTCTTCACAACTCGGAACAACATTATCATTACAAACTGTATAAGAAACAGAATAAGTATGTAAGAAAAAAAAACACTTATTCTATATTCAATAGTTCGAAGTAATCAATTTTAATTAACATGCTAGCATATTATATGCTTGTTTCTATCGTCACTTAAAGATTTCCTTGAAAAAAAAAACAACTTTGTTAGATCCTTATGTTATCACATTGATAGGAAAAAGATAAGCATCAAACCGTTTCTTTTTTTTTTCATCATGTGTTGTATATAAGTTCATTATCGAAAACTGTATGAATATTCATGTCTTCTTATTACTAATCGTTTTCGACATTCATTTTCATCCTTTTGTTTATGGATGTTTATAAAAGTCTGTTGATCATTTAGATAAAAAAAAAATGTCGGATCAAAGAATATGCATGAGTTGCGAATAAAGTTGTTCCTGTCAATTTTAGTTTTGTGCCTCAAATGAACTATTGTCGGATTCCCGAATGACAGAGAACATCATCAGAAGAAGAAAGGTCAAGTGCAGATAAAATGATAGCCATCATGTCATCTCAAGAGAGATCGTAGGAGATCACCATTGTATTTACATCATTTTCTATTTTTTTTTCTTATTTGCAATTATCTCTATATTCTCTCATTTTAACCTTCGAAAAATAACCTGTATAAAACATGATACAACTGATCATTTTCTCCTATCAACATCTTTCGTTGTTCTCTACACGCAATCTTTACAGTTAGTGTTAAAAGTTTACGTAATCCTAAGTGCACATACATACGCACATCATTGACATCCACCAAAAAAAGAGAGGCTAACTGTATACTACCATGTAGTTATTTCTCCATATAATAATTAAATAAAGAAAGAAACGTATACACGACAATGAATCGTTCATTTGTTTCTATATGATTACAATTCAAGGTTACTTCGTTCTTTTTTTCTCTTTAGAATGAGCTCGATCCACGAAGCAGCCGTGGCGGGTAATAGTGAAAAACTGAAGCTGCTCATTGAAAATGGTGCAAATGTAAATTTAAAAGACTCGAAAGGTCTTCGTCCATTACATTATGCAACATGGCAAGGTCGTACGGAATCAGTTTTTATTCTTTTACGTTCTGGTGCTAATGTACATGAACAGTCATTGGATGGTGATACACCATTACATTTAGCCAGTCAATATGGTCATCATGAAATAGTACAATTACTTTTATTTCATCATACTGATCCAACAATATTAAATCGTCGTCAACTAACATCAATTGACTTAGCATGTGAACATGGACATTTTCATGTTGTGAATTCACTTATACATAATAAATTATGCCACCAAATGATTTTAAATAATCACAATAATAATGAACAACATACACCATTACATTTAGCAGCAAAAAATGGACATACGGATATTATTCGTTTATTATTATTAAATGGAATGGATATTAATCGTATGACAATAAATGATGGAAGTGCATTACATGTTGCATGTAGAAATGGACGATATGAAACAGCAAAATTATTATTAGAATGTGGAATTGATATTAACCTTCGTAATTCCTATGAGCAAACGGCTTCTGAAGTAGTGATTAAACAAAAAAGTGGTAATGATATTAAACGATTAATAAAAGGTTAGATTTCTATGGTTTCATATTAAACAATATGCATGCTCGTTTACGTTATAATTGTAGAATTTTCTGATGCCATATTAGTTCGAGCTATTCGATCATATACAGATAACCATGTTGGTGCTTTGAATTTTATTGAAGGAGACTGTATAACTGTAAGAGAAAAATTTTTGTTAGCAAGAAGATTTGTATTATAAAAATGTTCTTTTTCTTTTTTTTACTTTAGGTTCTTGATCGTAATCCAACAGGTCAATGGCGTGGTTTTATTTTACAAGATGATCTTACAACTCGAACGGGTTATTTTCCAAGTACATATGTTCAATTGAATACAACGAGTAAGAATCCTGTGTAGTTAGTTGATTAGAAGATTACATTAGAAATCATAAAAAGAAGAATTAATCATAGTGATATTTATCTTAGTCTTTCTTTTTTTTATCAGATTGATAGAAAACAATAAGAATAAAAACAGCGTCTGGATATGAATATAGATGTATAGATAATGAATTTTAAACATAAAAAACAAGTCAAAAAAGAAAAGACGATTGTATTGCAAGATTCTCAGATATCGAAGAAAACTAATTCAACTCATGAGAAACGAAGGATTCATACTGCACCTGCCGTTGTTCTTTTTTTCTAATTAGTTTTTATCGAACAGGGACTCGAATGAGTTAAATAAAACAACTAAGTGTAATGATTTTTATCATTGCGTAAAATCATCTCTCTAATTCGATGCATTTCTTAATAATTTATACGAGAGTCTATAAAATGTATAATCTCACATAATGAACTTTTGTTTTTAGAGAACAACGAAAAAAACAATTGTAAAAAGAGAAAAATGATCTCAATCTTTCTTGAAAGGCTCGTCTTTTTTTTATGAGAACAAGATGTTCTATTAATTATTCTTTATTATGATTTCTAATATGTTTTGTTGTTTATTTGCATGTCGTACTGATTGAATGCATGTATGTTTTTCATCAAGGTCTTTATATATCTCCAAATTCTCATCTTTTGTTTGTCAATTCCAATTCTAATAATCAATCATTGGCAACTACTAAAACAATCAATAGTAATGTTATTTTAAGAAACCATCGTCCTAGTTGTGTGTTTTTCTATATAGTTTTTCAAATATATTTATTCATTTTATTTTTTTTCTAGTAATCAATGGTAAAGAAATTCAAACATATAGTGATAATCATTCTCCTATTGATATTGATTCTATGTCACGATCATCTCAAGTTGATTCTGCTTTAACAACAATTTCTAGTTGGAGCTCACGTTTGAAACGTCATAGTCCAACTAATAATATTTATCGTCATAGTGCAGCAAGTAGTATTGACAGTGGAAGAAGCTCAACACTTCTATATGATAGTCCAAAAGTAAATAAAACAGTATTAATGATTTTTAATAAAAACTTCTTTATTTTAGACTCGTGCTTTATCAAGTTTTATGGGTATTGGCGATGCTCGTTCTATATGTAGTAGTGAATCAAAATCATCTGATCCAGATAAAACAAGTTATCGAAGTTCAAATAGTAGTTTAGATGAATCTGGCACATTAAATATCAATAGACTTTTACGTAATGGTACATCAGAGAATGAAATTGTTTTTGCATGGCTACGTGAATTTTCCTATGAAAATTATGCCGAGAACTTTATAACAAATGGTTATGATATACAAACAATTGCTCGAATGACACCTGAAGTAAATCATGGTTTTTTTTGCTTCAAACATTAAAAGCTGAAAGTGGTTTTTTTTGACGATGAAAAACAATGCATTGCTAAAACAAAGATTCTAAACACTAAGTATGATTAGAGATACAGAATGTCCCTTGAAGGGAAAATCTGGTCTTACCAACTAGAATATAACACGTTGCTTAATTTATGTGAGAAAACTTTCTTCTCACAATAAATTCTATTGATTTATTTCAATTTAAAATTAAGAATCAAACTAAATAAAATATGTGCAATTTTTACACACTTCTGCACGTTTCGTTTAATTATAACATTAGCCGTGAAATCTATTTTACAGAAGATAAAATGATCATCTGATGATTTCGCTAGTAATCCGAGCTCGCTGCCGTTCCATCACAGTTAGAGTGAAGCTTTTGACGATTGAGAGCACATTCTACCTTGTGATAGTTTTTAGAAGGACTCGAAGATAGACTGAATGTTCCTACCAAAGAATATTTTCTTAATGATGTCGCAATGAACCATTAGATCGTTTAGCAATTATCGAATACTGTCATCAGATAACTGAGCGCTGTGCTAAGCCATATCACTAAAAAAACAAAATTATTAAGAATAAATATATTTTTTTAGAGTAAAAAAATGAGTATAAAAGAAATCATGGATTCTAAAAAACTTTGCTGCACGGTCTGATAGTCATGTAAGATAGGTTCGGCTTTTATTTTATGATTAATAAGTTTATCTTAGTCTGCAAGTATACTAGTTTTTGCATATAAAGTTTTATTAAATCTACAATAGCAGTTGCGGCAATACCCCTTGGAAGGAACATTAGGCTTTCAAGGATGCTCCCGGTTTTTTGGACTAATTCTGATTGTCCACAAGAATACAATAGGTCAGGTTCAAACTTTTACTACAGCTAGATTATTGAAAGTAATAGAACTTATGTTCGAGGAAAAACTTTAAAAGAGAGATCTTCAACGACTATCAAACCCCCGATTTTACTTTGTCTGATCGTGTCAACATTTTTTTCTGGAACTACCTTAGATTAAACCTCAGAGATGTTTTTAAGCTTTTCAAAAACAATCAAATCTTTGATTTTCAATTACAAAAATCAAGCAAACACCAGCTCGAAAAAACCGTTTTTGAGCTGGTGCTTCCCATGTTTTTCTAATTGAAAATCGAAAAAATTGATATTTTTTTCAAAAAAGATTTATATTATGTAACTCCAGAAAAAGCTTTTAGCCCAATCAGTATTACTCTCGTATGACATCAGACGTAATTCACGAGAAAGAGTTTTCTTATGGATTCAATCAAAAAATTTTTAAATTTTAGGATTTAACAGCCATTGGAATTACTCATCCATCTCATCGAAGAAAAATTAAAAGTGAAATAGCTCGATTACATTTACCTGATGGTTTACCTGATTTTAAACCAGATACACTTTATGATTGGCTATGCTATCTTCGTTTAGATGAATATATGTCTTTATTAAGTAAACAAAATTATAAAAAATTATCAGATATAAAAAATATTGCTTGGGAAGATTTAGAAGATATTGGTATAACACGTTTAGGTCATCAAAAACGTTTTATGCTTGGTATAAAACGTTTAATTGATATTGATAAAGGACATTATCAATCAAATCCAAATAAAATCAATTCTTCATCGAAAATACAAATGAAATCAACAATGGAACGTTGTAATTCTTTAGAACATAATGAATTTATTCAAAAGTAAAATCATGAATATCAATATAAAAGATTCAATTTTTTTCTTTTTAAGAGCATTCATTCGATCACCAGTTAATGATGATTCATCAACTTATGCAACTCTTCGAAAATATCAATTTTCACCGAATTCTTCAACTAATAAACAACGTATCGGATCATCTGGAATTTACACACCAACATTATCTTTTCGTTTACCACCACCATTATCATCAACAACGATAAATTCATCAATTAATAATTATCAAACAATAGCATCAAATCGAACACGTAGTTTAGAAAGTATTCATACAAAAGAATCAAAATTAGATACAAATAACAATCAAGTAAAATTTATTTATTTTACAAATAAATTTTATAGTATTTTTTTTTTCAATTATTAGTATGTGTCAGTTCCATCTCAATGTGCTCAACATTCAACAATGATAAATAATTTACAATTACTTAATGATATAAATTTATCATCAAGTACAGAATCAACAAATTGTATTCCATTTGCAAATGAAAATATAGGAACAATTAAGCAACGTTCACCATTAGATCATTATAATACATTAACAGTAAAACAATCATTTGATACAATAAAACGTTCATTACCTATCGAATTTTTTCAACAAACAAATATTCATTCAACAGCAACAGTACCTATTTACGATAATAATGAACATTTTATTCATAAGACTACAACTTCACCTTTTAAACAATTAAAAAAAACATCATTACCAGCAACCGAACGAGATACATCGTCAACAAATACAGATAAAAATTTACAATGTATTGAAACATCGAAAAAAAATAAAGAAAATAAAATAATCAAGTAAGTCATTGTTTGCATTTAAGAAAGTTTTAAATAGTTCAGAAAAGAAAACAGCAAAAATAAAGATACCGTAAAGTAGAGATTAACGTGACTCATGAATTTCACGATCACAACCATAGATGTGAGGGGAACTATGGTTTTCTAGTCCCACTTCTGATTTTGATCACAATCTAGAGAAAATCTATTCCAGAATTTATTCGTTTCACGTCGAAAAAAGTTCTTCAACACTTTTTATTTTATTTATTTAGTCGGCACCTGATAATATTTGCATCATCTTTCTTGAATTATGTTCTAATTGATAGGATTTATAAGATAAGTTGCTTAAAACTAGAGAATATTTAACTATAATCTTCAGTTCCAATTGGGATAACTTTTTTATCAGAGTCTTGATTCTGATAAACCTTCAAACTTTGGTTCTGCACATCTTTAAGCATGTTCATGATTGAAACTTAGCTATGAAGTTTTGTCAAAATTAGACAGAATCAAACTTCGAGTTCTTCATTGTCAATCGATAACTTTTCTTGATAGAGATTGCTAATGAAACTCATATCAGGTTTAAATAAATAATAAATAATAATGACATGTTAAGAGCACGGTCTTCGTCAAACATCAGTTTGACAGAGAAGTCTTTTAACTGTAAATAATGTATTTACTTTGAAAAAAGTGTGTATAACTTCCGCAATTATGACAAAGTAACCTTGAAACAAAAATGTTGTATTGAATTTAGAATATCTAACAACGTTTTTGTCTTCAATTTTCTTACACATATCAAATGAAAAACATCGTTATTTGCTGAACTTTTTCGAAAAGTCTTAATCTTGAAACAGAGTTATTGCTCATTGTTTGCTAAAATTAATATAGACATCGCAAATGAAACTCTAGCTCAACGTGCTTTCTTATCACACATGCATGCTAATAAACAAACCTATCACTCCTGTCAGCAAACTTAAAAACGCAGTCGAAAATTTCCAGTAGGAAAAATAACTGGAATTGTAATTAGGCATGCATTGAACTCGGACTCACGAAAGAAGTCTCTCAACTGATTAATCGCTTTTGAATCGAGACTATATGCATTATGTAGATCCAAATGAGTTTTGAATGTGCTTAAAGGTGTTGATGTTCTCAACGGAATGTCGAATTTCGACTTGAGACTTTGTAGAGAATGAGGCCTCAACAAGAATAGTTTGTGGTGAAAGTTTCAGGTCTTTTGATTTACTTCTACCTTGAAATGCGAGCATCGAGTCTGCCATTATATATATGATCGATGTAAGAGATACACATGCTCCATACTATCAACCTCAATAGTACTGCGCATTGTTTTTTTATTAGACAATATACAATTTATAGTTAAAAACGAAGATATAAAGTCTTGATACAGCGCCTGAATTTTTTTAATACTTTCTTTGAGTAATATTCGTTGATAATAGGCATGCACCCAAACCGTTTGGGTCACTTCTGCCCAAATAAGGAAAAATGCCCTTATTTACTGAACCATGCTATACAACAGTTTTTCTTCAGTGAAAAACTTAAGTAGGAGGATGACACTATAGAATACCAAAAGAGAGATTTCGGCAACCTTCTTAGATTAAATACTAGAGTCAATCACAAAACCCAAACCCAAACCCAAACTCATTGAGTTTGGGTTTGGGGGGTTGTTCAGTTCTCTTTGAATATCTCATTTAATGAAGCAGCTCATTTGATCATTTTCCATTTAGTTGTCCAAGGCAGACTTCCTTCAATGTTAATGGCGATACAGTTTATTGATACAGTTCATAGTCAGTGAGATAAGTTTGAAATATCCAAATTCTTCTATTGAGTTTGGGTGCATGCCTAGTTGATAAACTATCGAACGTTTCATAATTCTCATTCTCTAGTTCACGTTTTGATTTGAGATTTTTTCTTTTTTAATTGTCTATTTGATAATTTCCTATATTAATTCAATAGTGTTCAAATCGAAACTATAACTTTTTCATTGACATAATTTTATTTTGTATTCTTAACAAGAGAATTCGGTTAAGCCTCCCCCTCTCAGAAATCAACTTTGTTATTTTTCATCTGATTTCAACCAAATATTTCAGAGAATATTAGTCTGGGCTAGGATAGGTTATGAAGAAAATATCTCCCCCAAACCTCCAAGATACTAACAAGTTATAGTCAATTTATTGGTAAAAGGTACTCTGTACGCGGGCAAGGTTTTCACCATGAGGACCGGGAGCTAACAGGTCGAGGTAGTTTTTAGGTTGTAGAGTGTCGTTAGGGCTAGGTCGTGACAAAGCCCGATTTTGAATTTTACTTCCTTTGTTTTTTTAAAATCCTTTTTCTCAAAAATTCTTGAATTCATGGCCAAAAAATCACTGATCAAAATGAAAGATCTACGGTTTTTATTTCAGCAAAAGATCAATTCAAAAATCCGGCTCTGTGATGACCTAGCCCTACCTGTCTACTATACAATAAAAAAAAAATTATCACTTCCATATCGAGTCGTTATGAAGAAAAGCTTGCCCGCGTAAACGGTATGCTCGAAAAAACCGATTTTGAGAAGAACGCTAAATAAGTTTTAGAAATTGATTTTTGCGAAATACACGCAAATTATACGGCAATGTTTTGGATAGACTATAAGTATGTGATCTTTATCTTAAGTATTAGTAGGCTTTTAATAATTAATATAAAAAAGCTTTATTCAACGCTGATGCCAATTGAAAGGCTGTCTTTCAAAAACTGAAAAACTTTAAAAAAAGCCGCGAAAATTTTTGGAAAAAAATGATAGTAGGGCCCAAATTTCTGCCGATAAGTCTGTCAAAATCTATTCGTTTTGAGAAAAGCCATATATATTCTGAAAGAGGAGATCACGGTACATCTTCCTATGATAAAAATTCGACTTTG